TTGTGGGGGTGGGTGGTGGTGATCAGGCTGGTGGGGGGGCAGTTGGGGGCAACCAGGCTGGCAGGGGGCGCAATTGGGGGTGACCAGGCTGGCAGGCAGAAATATACAAAAATAAACTCAAAATGGATAAAGGACTTAAACATAAGACAGGAAACCATAAAAATCTTAGAAGAATCCATAGGCAGCAAAATATCAGAAATATGTCATAGCAATATCTTTACTGATACAGCTCCTAGGGCAATGGAAACTAAAGAGAAAATAAACAAATGGGACGACATCAAAATAAAAAGGTGCTGCACAACAAAAGAAGCCATCAAGAAAACAAGAAAGCCCCCTGCATGGGATAACATATTTCCAATGTTACCACCAATAAGGGTTTAATCTCCAACATTTATAGGGAACTCATACAACTTAACAAAAAGAAGATAAACAATCCTGTTGTCAATCAAAAAATGGGCAAATGACCTAAATAGATAATTTTCAAAAGAGGACATATAAAAGGCTGAGAGACATATGAAAACATGCTCCAAGTCACTAATTATCCGAGAGATGCAAATAAAAACAACAATGAGGTACCACCTCACACCTGTCAGAATGACTATCATCAACAAATCAACAAATGACAAGTGCTACTCTACATTACACACACAATATCCATCACACACTGCTAAGTTAGTAGATATGTGAAATTGAAAAAAATGTCTGAAATCAAGAGACAAAGCAGTCAAAAGAAAGAGTAATCTGCATATTGGTTTTAGTACATAAAGACTTCAAAATAACTATGACTAAGATATTAAAGACAATAGAAGAATAGAGAAAATGGATTAAAATATGGAATATTTCAAAGGAGTTAGAATCTATAAAAGTGATCATAAAGAATTTCTAGAACTAGAACAAAAATATAATATGGAATTGGTTTAAAAGCAGAATAAGAAAAAAACACAGAATTACCTCAAAGACAACATTAATAGCTGTTAAAAACAAAGAGAAATTAAAAACAAAAAATAGAATATACATTAGATATGAGGAGGTTCAGTGAAACAGTCTAGCATATATTATAGTACAGAAGTAGAGAAAATGGGTTAAAAGCAATATTTGAATCATTAACGGATAATAAGCTTAAACATTTTATAAAATATTAACCAAGAGATTCAAGCTCAATGAATATGAAGCATGATGTGCGCACGCGCACACACATACACACACACCACATTTTAAGTATATTGCTGACACATGACTAAAAATCAAAGATAGCCCTAACCAGTTTGGCTCAGTAGATAGAGCAGTGATGGCGAACCTTTTGAGCTCCAGGTTCAATTCCAGTCAAGGGCATGTACCTTGGTTGCGTGCACATCCACAGTAGGGAGTGTGCAGGAGGCAGCTGATCGATGTTTCTCTCTCATCGATGTTTCTAACTCTCTATCCCTCTCCCTTCCTCTCTGTAAAAAATCAATAAAATATATTTTAAAAAAATAAATAAAAATCAAAGAGAAAGAGAAAAATATTAAAAACAGACAAAGGAAGAAAGGACACATCTCTTGTCCTTCAGGAGAACAATAAGAATGAAAGATGACTTCTCAAGAGAAACTATGAAAGTCAATAAAATGGTACCGTTAAACTACTAAAGAAAAAAATGTCAACATAGATTCTATACTCAGCAAAAATACCCACCAAAACATGAAAAGTAATTAAAGACATTTTCAGACAAACAAAAAACTGAATCTGTTGTTAACAGATCTTATTTCAAACAATAAAACTATTTCTTTAGAATGAAGGAAAATTATTCTAGATGAAAGCATGGGATGTAAGAAATGAATAGCTACAGAAAGTATATATATATAAAGGTAAATATAATAGACTATTAACTGTTTGAAGCCATAATAATAATGTCTTGTAGGATTTATAACATATGAGGGGTAGGGCAAAAATACGTAAGAATAGCAAAAAACTAGAAGGCAAGTAAATGGATTTAAACTGCTTTAAGGCTTTTGCATTTGGGGGAGAACGTGGTAGAAGTACTAAATAAAGGTAGACTTTCGTAAGTCAGGACACATTTTGTCATTTCTAAAGTAATCACTAAAAGTATAATACAGTATTCAGTTTCTTCACAAAACTAAAAATGGAACTCCCATTTGACCCAGTGATCCCACTTCTAGGAATATAACCCAAGAAACTAGAAACACCAATCAGAAAGGATATATGCACCTCTATGTTCATAGCAGCACAATTTACCATAGCTAAGATTTGGAAACAGCCTAAGTGCCCATTAGCAAATGAGTGGATTAAAAAACTGTGGTACATCTACACAATGGAATACTATGCTGCTATAAAAAAGAAGGAATTCTTACCATTTGCAACAGTATGGATGGAACTGGAGAGCATCATGCTAAGCGAAATAAGTCAGTCAGAGAAAGATAAATATCACATGATCTCACTCATTTGTGGAATATAATGAACAACATAAACTGATAAACAAAAACAGATCCAGAGACAGAGAAGCATCGATTAGAACATCAAACCTCAGAGGTAAGGTGGGGAAAGGTGAGGGTAAAGGGGTGAGATCAACCAAAGGACTTATATGCAAGCATATAGGCCTAACCAATGGACACAGACAACAGGGGGGTGAGGGCATGAGTAGGTGTGAGGGGGCGGGGGGATGGGAGGATAAGGACACATATGTAATACCTTAATCAATAAAGAAAAAAAAAAGACTAACCAAGGGGGACTAATAAAGGAGAAAAAAATGGAGGAAGAAACAGAGGAACATGAAGAAATATTCTTTGGTGAGTGAAGTATTCAGTGCCTTAATATGGTGGTGGTTCCACAGATGTATACATGTATAAACATTCACTAAATTGCACACTGAAGATTTCTGCACTGCACCATGTAACATATATTGTATCTATAATAATAAAAGCATAACATGCTATTAGACCAGATGACCTTCCAGATGAAGCTGGCGCTGCAAGGAAGGAAGCTCCAAGTCCGGGTCCTGGGTGCCAGATGGAAGCCGGTGCCGGCAGCCAGGGAAAGGAAGGCCTACTCTTGCACAAATTTTATGCATCAGGCCTCTAGTATATTATAATAGACAAACAAAAAAGTCTATATATACCTTCCAGAGTAGAGAGACTAAGCTACAGAATCTTTCTAAATAGAATCGACTATATTTCTCAAAAATGTAATGGCTTATAGCTATTTTCTGAAAAATTTTCCATAATGTATACTAGGCACTCAATACATGTTATTAAATAAAGTATATGAATAACTATACTCTTATTTAATTTACTGTACTGGGTTCTA